TCACACCATGCACAAAAACTAACTCAAAATGGATCAAAGACCTAAATATAAAATCAAAAACAGTAAAGATCATGGAAGAAAAAACAGGGACAATGCTAGGAGCCCTAATATAGGGCATAAACAGAATACAAAACATTACTAACAATGCACAAACACCGGAAGAGAAACTAGGTAACTGGGAGCTCCTAAAAATCAAACACTTATGCTCATCAAAAAACTTCATCAAAAGAGTAAAAAGACAACCTACAGACTGGGAAAAAATGTTTGGCTACAACAAATCTGATCAGGGTCTAATCTCTAAAATCTACAAGATACTGCAAAACCTCAACAACAAAAAGACAAATAACCCAACTGAAAAATGGGGAAAGGATATGAACAGGTACTTCACCAAAGAAGACATTCAGGCGGCTAACAGGCACATGAAGAAATACCCACGATCATTAGCCATTAAAGAAATGCAAATCAAAACTACAATGAGATACAATGTCACTCCAACAAGGATAGCAGTAATCAAAGAAAACACAAAATAATAAATGTTGGAGAGGTTGTGGAGAGACTGGAACACTATACACTGCTGGTGGCAATGTAAAATGGTACAACCACTGTGGAAATCAATTTGGCGCTTCCTTAAAAAGCTAGAAATAGAAGTACCATACGATCCAGCAGTCCTACTCCTTGGAACATATCCTAGAGAAATAAGAGCTGTCACACGAATAGATATATGCACACCCATGTTCATTACATCACTGTTCACAACAGCAAAAAGATAGAAACAACGTAGGTGCCCGTTAAGAGATGAATGGATAAACAAATTATGGTATAGTCACACAATGGAATACTACCCAACAATAAAGAACAACGATGAATCTGTGAAACATAACATGGATGAATCTAGAAGGCATTATGCTGAGTGAAATTAGTCAGTTGGAAAAGGACAAATATGGTATGAGACCACTATTGTAAGAACTCAAGAAATGGTTTAAATGCAGAAGAAAACATTCTTCGATGGTTATGAGGGTGGGGAGGGAGGGAGAGGGTTATTCACGAACTAGATAGTAAACAAGAATTATCTTAGGTGAAGGGAAGGGCAACACACAATACAGGGGAAATCAGCACAACTGAACTAAACCAAAAGCTATGAAGTTTCCTGAATACAACCAAACACTTCGAGAGACAGAGTAGCAGTGGTGGGTGTCTGGGAACTACGGTTTCAAGGGACATCTATGTCAAGTGGCATAACAAAGTTGATTAAGAAAATGCTCTGCATCCCACTTTGGTGAGTTGTATCTGGGGTCTTAAAAGCCAGTGAGCAGCCATCTAAGATGCATCAATTGGTCCCAACCCACCTGGAGCAAAGGAGAATGAAGAATACCAAAGACACAAGGAAAATATTAGCCCAAGAGATAGAAAGGGCCACATAAACCAGAGACTCCATCAGCCTGAGACCACAAGAACTAGATGGTGCCTGGCTACCACCAATGACCGCCCTGATAGGGAACACAACAGAGAGTTCCTGACGGAGCAGGAGAAAAGTGAGGTGCAGAAATCGAATTCTAGTAAAAAGACCAGACTTGATGGTCTGACTGAGGCTGGAGGGACCCCGGAAGACACGTCCCACAGATTCTGTTAGCCCAGAACTGAAACCATTCCTGAGACCAACTCTTCAGACAAAGATTAGACTGGACTATGGGACATAAAACGATACCCGTGAAGAGAGTGCTTCTCAGCTCAAGTAGATACAAGAGACTAAATGGGCAGCTCCTGTCCAGAGGCAAGATGAGAAGGCAAAAAGGGACAGGAGCTGGCTGAATGGACACGGGAAATCTGCGGTAGAAAGGAGGGTGCTGTCACATTATAAGGAGAGCATCTAGGGTCACATAGCAATGTGTGTACAAATTTTTGTATGAGAAACTGACTTGAACTGTAAACTTTCACTTAAAGCACAACTTGAAAAAAAAAAGAAAGATTACAGCCAACAAAATCCTATGGAGCAGTTCTACTCTGTAACACATGGGGTCATCATAAGTCAAAATGAACTCAACAGCAACAGGTTTGGTTTTTGATACTAACTTTGTGTCTAGGCAAGCCCCACTTCCTTTTCAGTACCATGTGGTTACTTGTCCTACTCACTTTGAGTGGTGGCTGTGAGGGCAAAATGAGAAGTCAGTCATGAATAACACACAGTTTAACTTGAGAGGGCACAGTGAGTTTTCTACAGGAGGCAGAAGTGCAAAACAGGTTCAGTGAAGGTTCTCAGGTCAGGCCACCTGGGTCTAAACACTTGCTTCACCACTTACTGTCTGAGGGATCTAAATCAAGTAAGTGTCTTAAGTTCTGTGCATCTCAATTTCCTCACATGTAAATGAGGGACAATATTATCTGGCTTATAGGGTTGTTGACAGAACAAAAGGAGTTAATGTATGTCTAGCACTTAGGAAAACGCATAGCGCATATAAGCCCTCCATAAATATTATGGATCATAAATATTATGATCATTACTACCGAGGGAGGGCAGGGTCTGGGTCTCTTCCTGTCTACTTTCAGTAAGCACTTAGGACAGCACCATCCATGGCTCTAGATCCTACCTTGCACGAGGGAAGCAGCTGACATCCCCTTTGGCAAAAGTGAAGCATCGAAGGTTCGGACTACAGGCCCAGGAGGCTGGGGCTGGGGCTGGCGCTGCAGGTTGGCCACTCTCATGTTCCAGTTCCCAGTGGGAGAAGGCTTCATTCACAAAGTCCCTGGCACCCAGGTGCTCCAGCTCAGCAATCACATGATCCCAAGCGGTAAAGTTATTGACGAGTGCACCATATTTCTGCTCTGAGAGGAGACTGACTCGGATAGATGGCCAAAGATCCCCAAACTGCACACTGTAGGTCATGTCAAAATTCTGCAGAGCCAGTCGAGTGGCAGGGAATTTGGGCTCTGTGGCAGCCTAAATGGGAAAGAACAGGCTTACTGGTGTTCTCAGCCTTGCCTCTACCCTCTACTGCCTGACTCTACCAATACCTCAGAAGCCTGGGGCAAAAATAGATCCAGCTAGTGCCCACTCCTGCCTTTGCATACTGCCTCTGCCTGCCAGAAAAGCGTGGGAGAGAAATGTAGTGGAGAACTGGCCTTCCCGTTTCAGGGTTGTAAGAGAAAGAAAGCTGTAGCTCTCATAATAGTATCTGGGGGTCATCAAAAAGGTAGGCACTCCTTGAGGCCCTGGAATAAAAGGAACTTAGAGAATGGGAGCTCAGGAGAGGACTCTCAAGAAGAGGCTGCAGAAGGCTGAAAGAAACTATGGACGCCCTGGAGAAGCTTCAGGGATAAAAGCAAAAGACTCTTTTTGAACAGTCCTCCTATTTTCTAAAGCTTTTTCATGTCTGTTACCTTACTGGAACGTCACAACAGATATCTTGGTGGGATAAAAAAAAACCCACAAACCTCCACATTTGATGGAGAATCAGGGTACTTACCTAAAGTCATGCAATGAATGATACCATAACATGCAGAATCATAGGGTTGAGGGTCATTTTGGGAGAGCTCAAAGAGAGGAATCCCAGACCCCAGGAAGGTGGGATGAGGAGAGCTCACAGAATCTTGAGGTATAAGCTGAAATGAGGATTTCTAGGAAAACTGCTATGGGGGTAGCAGAGAGGAACATCAGTCAGGCCTGAAGAGTGTAAAGATAGATTAAAAGGGAAAAGGAGACCTCAGGTAAGGAGTTGACAGTTAGGTCCCAGTTGCCCATGACTGGGATCCTTGCTATGGCTGGCAGTCTTGTTACTGTCTATGACTTTGGCTCTGGTCTAGATTTTTGATCTGGTCAGAACTCTTGCTCTGGCCCTCATTTCTTCCTATGGTGGGGACTCTTGCTCCGACCTTGACTTTTGCTATGGCGGGGACTTTCGCTCTGGTGAGGACTCTTGCTCCGGCCCTGACTTTTACTCTCGTTGGGAATCTTGCTTCGGCTCCGACTTCTGTTATGGTGAGGACTCTCACTCTGGTCCAGATTTATGCTCTGGTTAGGACTCTTGCTCTGGCTCCGACTTCTCCTAAGGCGGAAACTCTCGATCTGGCCCTGATTTATGTTCTGCTGGGGACTCTTGCTCCGGCTTCGACTTCTGCTATGATGGGGACTCTTACTCTGGCTCCAGCTTCTGCTTTGGTTGGTACTCTTGCTCTGCATGTCACTACTCTGGTTTCCACTAATAACAACAGTTGAACTACAGCTGATATTAGTACTACAGCTGGAACTCTTGGATGAAGGCAAAGGGCAGCTGTAGGGGACCTGGGGGCGCTCTTTGCAGGAGTCTCGAGAGGCCACAGAGTAGATATGGAGGCCACAGGGGATGTCAGGGCGGCCTCGGGCTCGGGGGGCAATGGGTAAACTTTGGGGGTCAAAGGGTGTTCTCAAAGGGATAAAAGAATAGATGTGGGTAGCACAAGGGAGCCCCACAGACTGGCGAGGGGGTGGGGGAGGCCCCCTGGGAGTGCTGTAAGTGCCACAGGGGGTTACCATTGGCTGGTTATGACACTGAAAAGGGCCTGTAGAGTGACTGAGGGAACCCATAGAGCAAGGATGGGGTGAGGGCGGAACAACAGAGCACATATGGGTACTGCAGGGGGATTCTATGGGGGGTCCACGAGGGATACTCTGAGCGTAACTATTGACTGAAGCAAGAGCACAAGGGAAGCGGAGGGGAAGGGAAGTGGGGATGATAGTTTTGAGTGTTCTAGGAACCACAGTGGGTAAAGTAGTCCCTGGGGGAGGTTCTCTGGGACAGGAATTTGATGGAGTTGTGATGGATGGCTCCCTACAAGAAGGACTGGAAAGGCTGGAGGGGTCGGAGAGAGGTGGAGGAGAAGTACAGGCCTTAGGGGGCCTGGGCTGGCCAGGAGGGATACACTGGGGAGGGGCAACCATAGAGTGACACCTGTGGGGAGCACGTGACTGCTTTAACTCTGAGGATTTGGGGGACTTCACTTGGGGGAAAACTGGGGTGGTGGCAGGGGGTTCATTATAGCTTCTGGGAGGGGGTGGCTGGAGTGGAGATATAAACTGGTTGCTTGGGGGTAAAGGGAAGGGGAGGACAGAATAAGGACAGTAGGAGGACAAGGAAAGAGGGGATTCCTGGGGATAAGGGGGACCAGAAATTGTGGTACCTGGAGGTAGGAAGAGGTAAGAGCTCCCACCAGCCTCCCAGGAAAGAATGGACTCAAAGCAAGGCTTCCTGGGGGTCTGGGACTGGGGTGGGCAGGGAGAACTAGTACTCCCAGGAGGCATGCGGATGGCACAGTAAGGAGTCTCAGGGGCAGGTATATGGGCCTCTGGAGGAGGATGTGAATAGTGACAGCCCTTCTGAGGCGGGCTGGGAGAGCCAGAAATGTCTGCCTGAAAAGAAGGTGGGAAGCCACAATAATTTTTCCCAAGAGGCAAGTCAAGCTGTGGTTTGGGTTCACAAGAGTCTGGAGGCTTAAGGCAGCCATGGTAAAAGCTGACAGTGGGTGGGGGAGGTACTGTGGGAAAAGGAGGGTCATTATAACTTCTCCCTGAAGACCAGTGAGAGAAAATCACAGGCCCAGTTTCCAAACCCCTATGAGAAAGGGGTGGGGAGACTATAGGTCTAGTTTCCATGGACCGGTGAGCAAGGGGAGGTGAAATGATGAGGCCAATTCCCTGAGGCCTATGAGTAAGAGGAGGTGAAACTGGGGGGCAAGGTCCCTGCAGCCTATGAGTGAGGGGAGGTGAAATCAGGCGATCAGTTCTGGGGGGCCTTTTAGTGAGGGGGGGTGAAATCGTGGGGTCAGTTCCCTGGTGCCCATGAGTGTGGGGAGGTGAAATAATGACATCAGTTTCCAGGGGCCCATGAGTGAGGGGAGTGGAGGTCAAGGGGCCAGTTCTTGGGGGCCGATGAGAGACAGGAGATGAAATCACGGGGTCAGTCTCCGGAGTCCCATGAGTGAGGGGAGGGGAAGTCAATGGGCCAGTTTCTGGGGGCCGATGAGTAAGGGGAGGGGAAGTCAATGGGCCATTTTCTGGGGGCCTATGAGTGAGGGGAGGGGAAGTCAATGGGCCAGTTTCTGGGGGCCGATGAGGGAGGGGAGGGGAGGTCAATGGGCTGGTTCCTAGGGCGGACAGGTATCCGTCACAGTAACAGAGGGAAGTGTGCAGGTCAAAGAAAGCGCTTCGGGGACAGGGACCCAGTGTTGTTGGGGGCCTGGTACAATTGCAATATGGGCTCCGCAGACGCTGAGGGGGCGACCCCATAGGGCTAAACCGGTCAAGATAAGGGCTCAGAGGGGGCGAACCCGTGAAGCAGTAGGGCCTTCCAAAGAGTAGGGGAGAACTAGGTTCAAATGAACATCTCTCCCGACGCAAGGTAAGAGGGGGGGTTGGCGAGGGGCAAGGTGGGGGCGGGGAGGGAGGCGGGCCGGTTATAAAAGGAATTTCAGAGTGACAGGTGAGTCCAGTAAAAGGGTCCTTGGAGAACTGGGGAGAGCCCAGGGGGTGAGGGGAGTCGCTGCACTTTCTGCCTGGGTTTGGGGAAAGCCTGGGAGTAGGGGCAGGGTGGTCACTGTAACCTTTCCTGGGCGCCAGAGGCAGCTCGAGGGTGAGGATGGGGCTGAATCTTTTCCCGGAGGGTGTCGGCGACCCAGGAGGGAGGCAGGGGGGTTCGCTAGGACATTTTGCCAGAGGCGAGGGCGGCCGGGCTTGAAGTTTGAGGAGGAAAGGAGAAGAGTTCATAAGGAAGGGGGCGAGAGGGGCTGGGTAGGAAAGAAAGGGAGGGAGGAGGAGAGGAAGGGAGGTGGAACGGGTAGTGGGGGCCAAGGGGAAGGTAACCTCGAGCTGGGGAACAAGAGGCGGTGATGTAACTGAAAGAATGAGGCGGGGTGATGATGTAACTTAGAGGGGCGGAGTCAAAAGGCTACGGCACTAATGGGGGGACAGTTGAAGACTCGTGACAAACAAAAGGCTGAGAGAGACCATAACGTAACAGATGTAAGAGGGAGGAGCCTAGGGACGCTCATTGAGGGGTGGGGAAAAGAGACCCAAGGCGTCCATGAGTAGAGAACTGTAAGACATAACCGAGTAGAAGGGCTGGAGAAGTTGCCATAGGGCCGAAATGTGTGGGAATGCCCCTCCTGGGCCCCCGGTCAGACCTTACCCATTTCTTCTTATGTCGATGTCTCCGCGGGGCCGTCAGGAACTCCACACGCTTCTCCAGCTCCCGGACACCTCTCAGCACCAACGCGGCCATGTTAGCGTGCGCCGCCGGGTAATTCCGACCGGAACTGCATCGGGCGACCAGTAGGTTCCGGAGAAGTAGCGCGCGCCACTCTTGAGGACTTGAATGGGAAAAGGGGAGGGAGTTAAGTATGACGCTCTCCCTGGGCCCTGCCTAGCTCTATATCCCAGGTGCAAACCCCGCCCCACCGGGATCCCTTGCAACCAAAACCAAACCCGTTGCCGTCGAGGCGATTCCAACTCATAGCGACCCTATAGGACAGAGTAGAACTGCCCCCATAGAGTTTCCAAGGAGCATCGGTGGATCCGAACTGCCTACCTTTTGGTTAGCAGCCATAGCTCGTAACCACTACACCACCTGGGTTTTCCATGATCCCTTGAAGGAGCTGGAAAAAGAGGAGCCAGGCGCACGGTCTGGTGACCCCCTCCTAGATGCGTGGACCTGTGCGAAGGACTCAGAGGCCTCTAACCCAGCTGGGGGATCAAGGAGGATTGAGAGTTGGCATTTGAGAGCTGAAAAAGTTAGCTAGGCAACGAGAGGCTAGAAAGGGCCTAGGTAGGGGAAGTTGCACGGAGGAGGAGCTTCAGGCAGAGAAAAATGAGACCAGACTGTAGAAAGCCTTGTAGGTAAAGGCAGATTTACAGTGAAGCTAATGACGCTTAAGTTTCAGGACTTGTCATTTGCAAGTCACTTTCAAGGCCCTGTACCTAATTTTGTATTATTTTTCTTAAATTTCGTAAATTGTGTCAGCTTTAAGACTCACAAAACTTGGCTGCATCATCAGTGGAGGAGAGGGACATGAGTGGATACATGTTTTCTAAAATTGTCATCTGACAGCAGATGATCAGAGTAAGTAGGAATAGAGGCAGGGAGGTCAGATGAGAGAAGATGATGGTCCGAATTAGGTGGTGGCAGTGAGGATGGAGAGAAGAGGATGAATTCCATTTATAATAAGAGATAGAATTACAGGATTTGTTGACTGATTGAGGGTTAAATTGAGGGGCAGATCTCTGATGACTCCCAGTTGTCTGGCTTAGGGTTCCATTTATTGAATTGGGTGACACAGAAGGAGGATTGAGGTTGGGAGGAGATGGTAAGAAGACAGCTGTTAACTAGTAATGTAGTACATACTATTTTAGATAGGATCAGGGAAAGTCTGATAATATTGGGCAGCCATTTGAAGGTAGGTAGCTGGGGAGCAATCCATGTGGTTATGAGGGGTAGTGTTCCAGGCAAAATAAACAGCAAGTATGAAGGCCCTGAGGCAGATTGTGCTTTGATTTTTGAGAACAGCAAGGTAGATAGTGTAACTGGAATAAAGTTAGGAAGGAGAATGACCAGAAAAAAAAAAAGGAGGGGGCAGACCATGAAGGGCCTGTCAGGCCAAGTCAAGGGCTCTAATTTTAAATCGAACGAGAAACTATTAGGAGTTCTGAGCAGAGAAGCATGATCTGACTTACATTTGAAAGTATTATTCTGGCCTCTTTGTGGAGAATATACTAGGAGCTAGAATGAATGCAGGGAGATCTGTTAGAAGGTTACGACAGTCCAGCTGAAAGCAAAAGATAATGGTGGTTTGAATTAGATTGGTAAGGGTGGAGACGGGGGAAAGTAGAGCCAAGATAATTTGTTGACAGATTGGAATATAAGGTATGAGACAGAGGAATTAAGGATAACGCCAAGATTTGGCCTGAGCAACTGGAAGAATGGATCATTCTACCAAACTGCTCTCATCAAGGTCACTAATCACCAAATCCAATGGCCACTATTTAGTCTTTTTTTTTAACTTCATTTATAGCATTTGACAAACGGACCACTCCCGCTTAATACCAGTTTCCAGTTATCTTAGTGTTCATCATCAGTTTCCTCCATAAACTCTTCCTTGTTTGCCCTTAAATGTTGGTGTTCCTCCAAGTTTTCTCTATAGGCCTTCTTCTCTAGCTTCATATTGTGAGTTCTGTGAGGGGATGAATTGTGTCTTATTCTGTGTTGTATTCCCGGCATCCAGAACAGTGAATGACACATAGTAGGCACTCATAGTCAAGTGAATGAAGGTCTACACACTCTTCTCTGTCCTCTACTCCTGTGCTTCATTTACCATCTTTCTTATTTATCTAGTGCTGCTGTAACAGGAATACCACAAGTGGATGACTTTAACAAACAAATTTATTCTCTCACAGTTTAGAAGGAGTCTGGATTCAGGATGCGAACTCCAGGGGAAGGCTTTCTCTTTCTGTCAGCTCTGGGGAAAGGTCCTTGTCATCAATCTTCCCCTGGTCTAGAAGCTTCTCAGCACAGGGACCCTGGGTCCAAAGGACACACTCAGCTCTTGGCTCTTCTTGCTTGGAGGTGATGAGGCCCCTCTCCTCTCTGCTTGATTCTCTTTTATATCTCGGAAGAGATTGACTCAAGGTACAACTTAATCCTGTAGATTGACTGCTGCCTCATTAACATAACTGCCTCTTATCCTGCGTCATTAACATCACAGAGGTTAGGATTTACAACATATAGGATAATCACATCAGATCACAAAATGGTAGACAACTACACAATACTGGGAATCATGGCCTAGTCAAATTGACACACATTTTTGGGGAACACAATTCAATCCATAACACCATCTATATGCTGATAATCCCAAATTTCTATTTTCCAGACTACGTCTCTCTTCTGAGACCTCTGTCTGGATGTTTTATAGGCATCTCAAACTCACCATCTTTATACAGTTATCAGAAAATCACATTTGTCAATATCACTACTGATCTCATCAGAAAAGTCTTTAAATTTTGGGAAGATTTTTAGTCCAGATCTGTTGATGAATTCTCTCAGCTTTGTTTAAAAATTTCTTTCTTTCTTTCTTTCTCTCTCATTTTCTGTTTTTTTCTTTGTCTCTCTCTCTTCTTGTCTCTTCATGTCTCCTCTTTCTCTGTCTCTCCCCCCCCCCCATCTCTCTTTCTTTCTTTCCCCTAGAGGGCAGCTTTATTCAGCCAGAATAAAATCTTTTTAATCCTGAATCATATGTTTGTTCCTCATTAGGGTGACCCACTTCATCCTATCACATTTCCTTGCACACAAGAGAATATTGTCATCAATTTTGACCATTACACAGTTTTTATTGATTTCATCCTGAGTGGTATATTGTTTAATGTATACCCATAACGAACCACTGGTTAAAGACAAATATAACTGCAGATTCACCACAAGATCATCACTATATCTATTAAATGCATTCATCTGAGTAAAAACTATTGTTTCAAAGATAAAATGTTATGTTATATTCACTTTCATTTATTGAGAATAAAGATTATTTCATTCTCACATTATTTGCAGGGAAGTGCTTACAAATAACCTGAAAACTTTTTAATTTTGTCATTTAGAAACAAAATATTACACTAAAAACAATCCATCTAGATTGTTAAGCATTTTCTACTATATTAGTGTCCTGTACACATGAGGTCACTATGAGTCGGGGCCGACTCAATGGCAGCTAGCAATGTGGCTGCTGTAAACTTGGTGGTTTAAAGTATACATTTATTCTCTTACAGTTCTAGAGGTCAGAAGTCTAAAATCAGGGCTATTCTCTCTCTGGAGGCTCTAGGAGAAAAGCTGTTTGCAGCTTCTAGAGCTGCATTCCTTACATTCCTTGGCTTATGGCCCCTTTCTCCATCTTCAAAACCAGTGGTATTACATCTCTGACTCACATAGCCACCTCATCTGTTTATAGTCAGATCTTCTGCCTCCCTCTTATAAGGATACTTGAGACCACATTTAAGTAAGGCTCACCTGGATAATCCAGGCCATTCTTCCTATCTCAAGATGCTTAATTTAATCACATCTGCAAAGACCCCTAGACCCTTTTTCCATATGAGGTAATATTCACAGTTTCCAGGGATTAGGACCTGGCTATTTTTGGGAGCCATTATTGAGCCTGCCACATCTACTAAAGTTTAAACATATGCCTATTCTGTGACCCAGCAATTCCACTCCTAGGTTCAAACCTGACAGAAGTAAGTGCATATGAACACATGTACAAGAAAGTTCATAGCAGCTATATTCAATTAGCCAAAAAACTGGAAACAATGCAAATATCCATCAATAGTAGAATGAATATTTTGTGGCATAGTCATACAATCGAATGCTATACAGCAATGAAAATGAAATGCTACATTCAACAACAATGAATCTCATGACATAATGAGCAAAAGAAGCCACTCACCAAGAAATACAAACAACATTATTTTATTTATATGAAATTTAAGAACAGGCAAAACTAATGTACGGAATTGTAAAAATGATATGACAGCGTCGTTTGACCTCCTTGTCTAACTTCACAAGGGGGAGGAGAGAGAATCACCAACATAAGCCCAAAGCTGATCCTTATGATCAAACATACCTCCACTCTCCAATCTTTTTATCAATTCTGACAGCAGCCATCCCTCCCACGGCATTCTCTACTTCTCTGCCAAGTTGCCAAAAATGAGATTGAACACATTGATATCCTAGGCCTTAGTGAGCTGAAATGGACTGGTATTGGTCATTTTGAATCAGACAATCATATGGTCTACTATGCTGGGAATGGAAACTTGAAGAAGAATGGCGTTGCATTCATTATCAAAAAGAACATTTCAGGATCTATCCTGAAGGACAGTGCTGTCATTGATAGGAATAATATCCATAAGCCTACAAGGAAGACCAGTTAATATGACTATTATTCAAATTTACGCACCAACCACTAAGGCCAAAGAAGAAGAAATTGAAGATTTTTACCAGCTTCTGCAGTCTGAAATTGATCGAACATGCAATCAGGATGCACTGATAATCACTGGTGATTGGAATGCAAAAGTTGGAAACGAAGAAGGATCAGTAGTTGGAAAATATGGCCTTGGTTATAGAAACGATGCCGCAGATCACATGACAGAATTTTGCAAGACCAACAAGCTCTTCATTGCAAATACCTTTTTTCACCAACATAAACGATGACTATACACGTGGACCTTGCCAGATGGAATACATAGGAATCAAATTGACT